AGAATTAAGAAGACAGAAGATAGTGATTGATATTGCATTTAGATATTTGGAGATAAAAATTGACTGGAAAACAAGAAGGCAGAAAAAAGTTCTTCAAGAAAGAATTGTGATAGAAAAAACTGTTAGTATAGAACTCATGATATTACATTTAGCCATTTCAACTATACACTGCATGCCAAATTATTATCGAGATAACTTTTTTTCTAATATTTCAAAAACTGTCCAATCAATTCACAGAAAATTTTCACACAATGTTGGCAACACTGACCTACGCAATCACTGAAATTTTTGTACTGATCTGCGCAATGTAAACAAACTGGCACCATATTTGTTATCAGCACGGTGATTTGAGCGTGCCAAATTATTAGAAAGTAAAATTCCCAGAATTGATCAAACAAAACATTTATTAATGTTGCACATGAATGTTTATGATCAAAAGAAGCTAATAAATAAGATAATCAAACAAATAATAACATATACAAAGAAAGGCTCAGTTTTAAACAAATTAATAGGGAATGTGCTTTCCCTGTTTTGAAATTACTTGAAGATGTTGACGATCCATAGAATTTGTTAATTGTAGGATGTCATCTGCTGTTATGCTGCGAGATATGTCAAGAATTGCTTCCCGCAACTCAGCGTTGCTCCTGAATTATCGTCCATTGGCGTACAGTCTTCGCTTCATGATGCTCCAAAGGTTTTCGACTGGGTTCAAATCTGGAGAATTTGGTGGCGACTTCATTTTCCATCGAAGCCTAACTGTTTCAAATATTCAGCAGTCTTGTGAGCAGCATGTGAGGGAGCATTATCTTGCATGAAAACAATGGCCCTTCTGAAGGCAACACTTTGCCTTTTCATCCACAGTGCAAGATGCTCCTTCATAAACGCTATGTATGCATCAGCAGTCATTTTGACGCCATCTGGTACTCTCCATGAGCCCACTAATGTTTTTCCAATAATACCACCCCTGATCATTATGCCTCCACCGCCTTGTTGGTGTCTCAAACGCTGATGGCGATTCTGTTCGTTCATTACCCAGACTTTGCACCATCTATCTGGCCCATCAAATGTTGCTCAAGTTTCGTCTGAACAAAACTTTAGAGAAGTCAATCTTCTAAATTTCCTTGGCTCATTTCAATCGATTTTGAATGTGATTTCTCATCAACGGAGACTTTGATACAGGTTTGACTGTTATTGCTATTTCCCTCAGATACCGACACCGAGTATTTTTAGACACAGTAGGATCCCCAATGCGACTGAAAAGCTCTTGACTGGTAAGTCCAGGGTTCTTCGTGGCCTCTCATTTAAGTCGTGACATGAGAAATAACCCTCGGCTTGCCTTTATCTGCCCTTTTACGTACTTGTGTAGGGTCGGCAGTGAACTTTTTCACTGTTTGATGACACCTCCCTATCATTTTAGAAATTTCTAGGGTAGATTTACCTTTTGAGAGTTCTGAGGTGATAGTTTTCTTTTCAGCATCACTTAAACTGCTGTTGTGAGTTCATTACCAGGCTATAGCAGTGGTGAACCAAAAACTTGGAGAGTTGAGTTAAAGGAAAAAAAAAACTAAGACATACTAAAGAGGCATGGCACATGGAACTAGAACAATCTACCCTGGTGGATGAAATAAAGGGTTTGGTTTGAAATTCCAATCACCTGAAGAAGGCCAGGATGTACAATGGCCGAAACGTTGTGAATATATGGCAATGAAGACGAGGATAACAGTCCAAATAATGTAAATAATCATAATATCTCATCTCAGAGATATAGACAGATAATAAAGAATAAAATGAAAAATAAGTAATATATTAAAAAAATATAAATTAATAATAAATAAAATACCATAACATTTAATAAATTATTGAGTTACCTCTATCATGGCATTTCATTAATATCTCAGTCATTAAATATTTAAATTAAGAAAATTTTACAGTTTTTTAAATTTTATTATTTTTTCAGAAAGCATCTTCAGACGCAAGGCTATAATGCTAAAGTAAAAAATATTCAATAAAGTATTAGATAGCTGTTGAAAAAAAGTTATTTTTTAAAAATTGCTAGGTAGCTAAAAACCAAAAGAAAGCGTTCAGTTAGATTTCGTAAATTTATGTCAATTCTGGTCAGACATACTTAGCTGTCAACTTCTGGAAGATTTTTAAAACCGAGAATTAATTTTTGTTTCCAAATGTGTCAAAATGGCCAAATTTAAATGAATTTTTTTTAAAATGCCGAAAAAGTTTTTTTTTTTTTTTTTAAGCATTACGCCACGAGCAAGGCGGGAAGCCACTAGGATGCAGGGGGTTGCAGAAGATTTGGAGCCGAGCAGATAGGGAGTGATAGAAGAAAGGATGAGGAGAGGATAGTGGATAGATCAAGGTAACTGGAGATGTCGATTGACATTACATTTGAATAGTTGGAGATTATAGCTCTCAGGAAAACAGTAATAGGGAAGGGTGTTTCACAGGCGAGAGGTGCGAGATATGAAACTATTGGAGTAGAAGAGACGGCTAGATTTAAAAGTTTCTACAGTGAAAGGGTAAGAGCGGGATGCCAACCTCGTAAGGCGCTTGAATTCATGAAGTCTGGGAACCAATGAAAGCAGCTCATTGGAGCAATTACCATGAAAGTATTTATAGAAAAGACAGAGAGAGGTGACGGTGTGTCTGTGAGAGAGCAACTGTAGACAAGATGCCAGATCAGGGCCAATTATATTACATATCTGCCTCTGGATCTTGTCAAGAACTCTGAGGTAAACAGAAGGTGCACCAGACCATATATGGCAGCAATACTCCATGCAAGGGCGAATGGTTGATTTGTATATTTGAAGTATCAATTCCGGGGAGAAAAATTTCCTGGTGTGGCACAGAGAGCCAACTTTCCTCACAGTGGACGAAGCAATTGACTCAATGTATTTGTTCCATCTCAGGTCAGCAGTCAACGTGAGACCAAGCAGACGCAGAGAGTTGCTCTCAAGAAGTTGACTATCAGACATTCTAATGGGGGGCAGGGAAGGATCTCTATGGTGATTAATAGAGAGTAGTTTAGTTTTTGAGTCGTTAAAGTTGACCAGCCAATTCTTGCCCCAGTTGACAACCGATTGGAGGTCCATTTCAAGATGAGCGGCCAGGTTAGTTTTGTCAGCGACACTAGTTTTGTTTTTGAGGCAGGAGTAAATTGTAGTGTTGTCTGTGTAGATGCCAACTTGGGAATCTATGGCATCAAGAAGGTCGTTGATGAAAATAAGGAATAGAGTGGGGCCAAAAATGGAGCCTTGGGAAACACCTGTGTTCGTGGGATAGGAACTGGAGGAGAATCCGTTGAGAATGACCTTCAATTCACGGTTTGACAGGAATGATTGTATTAGGTCAAACAATCGACCTGTAATACCATAACCCTGGAGCTTGCAAAGAAGGCCAGCATGCCAAACCCTATCAAATGCTTTGGAGATGTCTAGGGCCACGGCACGAGCCTCACCGTTATTTTGAAGGGCTTGGTAGACGGTTTCAGTGATGGCCGTAAGCACATCAGCTCTAGATCGGGCGTAGCGGAAACCATATTGCTTGTCTGAGAGCAGGTTATGTGAGGTAAGGTGGTTAACCACTTCAGCGTTGATTAGGGCTTCGAAGACTTTGCTGAAGTGGGGTAGGAGATTAATAGGAGTTGAGATTCCACTCAATATTATGTCTGTTTGAAACACATCAGGGAATTTTGCTTAGTGGAAATAGTAAATTTAATCATTATCATTTAGCTTCAATCAAAGCTAAAAAGAAAGCTTCAAGAATGCTTTTTCATTTATCAAAAATAAAAATCCATTTTAAAAACCACAGTATCAAAACTGAGTGGAAGTAACAGAAAAATCTAATGAAATTTTGTATCTAACTAATCGTCATAAACCGATTTCTTTCTCTCTCTTCTTCCAAAGAAGCTGAACAACAACAATGACAACAATAAAAAACGCATGAAGAAAATCTTCCATTGAATTGCTAGCATGTTGATCTCACAGATCAAAAAAAAAAAAAAAAATAACTAGGTTCAGTTTGCTATAAATTCATTGTGAATTAATCCCCCCTCCTACGGTATCCAAAACAAAATAATGCTTATCATATGGGAATGGGATCATTTACATGTAAAAATTTTTTAGAAGAATTAAATTCGTAATCAATCTGGAGATTTTTTTTTTATTACTATCGATTATAAGCACTCCAGATTACGAATATATAGGGAAAATAATAGGAAAATCTATGACAAAGTGGAAAAAAACAAAAAAATGTTTACGCTTCACCACACTAACGCGTAAAACATCAATTTTTTTTTCAGTCCGATGAAATCCTGAAGGACGAAATGCGTCAAACGGATTTTTTCGCAATTCGTCATAGATTTCCCTATTATTTTTTAAATTTTATTTTTATGAAATCACGTCGTATTCGTTTTTTGGGGGGTTTAGGTGCTGGTTAGTTTGTTTTTTTACAGCGAATTTACAAAGCAAATTGGACCACACCACATTAACTTAAAAAAAAAAAATTAATTACTTTTTTGTTTATATGTGAACTACGTCTATATAATTTAAAAAAAAAAAAAATCTGGTCGCACTGCCTAATTGTAAAACACCAGTAAAACTAAAAGTCCATAAGTTAATGACATTTTTATTTTTAGTCCAGACATTACCTGTAAGTGCAGTAAGAAGCTAAATTCTTAATGATAAAAGAAGTTGGACATAAAAATAAATGAATTACTTAAAATAAAAATATCTTTACTTTACAAAAGAAAGAAACTAAGCGAAATAGAAGAAAGGCTATGACTAACTCGTGACGGATCAGCCTCTTTACCTGCCTTTTTTTGTGTGTGTGTCTGCCCAGCGCAGTTAGTGAGTGAGGCATGCTGGGAAGACATGTTCGACTTAGAGGAGGAAATTTGAATTTTCTTTTTTTTCTGCTTGTTTTACTTTTAAAGTTTTTAATGTGTTGTTTCAGTTAAAATGTTACAGCAACCGATGCCGCCAAAGTTAATGCGCTTTGAGCGTGGATTTCCCCTCAGGGAGTCAAAAGTTTACAGTAAGTAATTTGTCTTGTTTTTTGGGGTTTTTTTAAAATAAATAACCGATAAGAATTTGTTGAAGCGAAGAACAACAATTATTAATTAACCTGTTGAGAGAAACATCGGATTTTTATGTAAACTTATTAAGTTTGTTACCGGGAAAAGTCATCAAAAGTAAAATGATTTCATTTTTTTCTAAAGAATTCTGCATTAATACCTTAAAAAAAAAAATCTATCAGTTGAAAAACATAACATCAAGCATTTTTGAACGAATAACAACAGGTAGATAATGATTTCATCAGCGCTAATAACATTTTTAGTCTCTAGAGTTCTTTCTTTTTTTACTGATCTTATTTTGTATTTCCATTAAAAAAATAATTAAGCTAAATTAAAATTAATTATTTGCGTTTGATTATTTGTCTCTAGTTTCAACATACAACTACGTACTCCATAAATAAAATTGGTTTGTTTTTAATTAATCAAAAACAATTATTCATTAAAGTCTAAAGAAGTGTTCAGTTACTTAAACTCTTTATTTGGCGAAAAGCCTAATTAAAAAAAATATTTAAATAATACACAAAAAGCGGAAGGTCACAAACGAATTTTTTATTTAAAAAAAATTAAAAAAAACTTTTTATGAAATGCTGAGTAAGTGTCTTTTTCTCTAGAACGTTAAAAAGCATTGAAGTAAGAATTACTGTTTTTTTTTATTCATGGGCTAATTGGTAAAATACGCAGTTGTATTGGTGAAATCATTTTATTTTCAATTATCCTGAAAATATAATTTTTTCCTTGATTTAAAAAAAATCTTTACTATTTCTTTCTTTGCGTGGGGAATGAATGAATAAAATAACTTAAAAAATTTAAAAGTACTTGTTAGTTAACATTTAAGCATGCAAAGTTAAAATAAAAACTATTTTATTTTAAAATAAACTTTGTTTCTTTGTCCTATATTTAAAAATTTAAATATTCTACATTTGTTTATCCTAGAGTTCACCAAGTCCATTTTTCTATCTTTCATAATCACAAAAAATTGTAACTAGTCGTAGCCTATTGACTTGTGTGTGGCTAATACTAGATTGCGTGTGTTTCTGTAACGGTAGCATAGTAATTTTTAAACTAGTAATTAAATTACTTTAAATTACTATGCTACTATTTATTTTTCGCAGTTATTGTCTTTTTAATTTAACTTTTTACTTTCTAAAAATGCCTCTTGCTCATTAAGTTATTAATTTTAAACTGAAATTTTTCCAGCTAATGATTAAAAAAACAGTGTAATAAATAATAAAGTGAAAAAAAAAACCATGATGATCAAACAAAATTCAAATTGTATTATTAACTTTTAAATTCTTTTTAAAAATAATAAAATTTAATTTCCCTGCTAGCTAAGGGTTGTTTTGTTTTCGTTAGAAAAATAACGTATTTTGTCTCGGAGTGTAGCGTGTAACTGCTACATGGTTATCGCAGATTTTACAAGTGCATAGTTGATTACTGAGGACTTGTTTTAAGGATTTGATTACAAAATGGGTTTTGAATATGAGCCACGTACAAAAAAATCTATTTTTTTTTTAATGTGCCTAAGAAAAGTAACCGTTGTAAAATAAAAATGTAAATGAATAACTTTTGTTTTTTTTTGTTTTTTTTTTTTTGCCCACAATGGCATTGATTGGATCATGTTGAAAAAGATGTGATTGCGATGTGATCTTTGAATATTTTTCGTATCGTGTTGCTTAGAGATAAAGTAAATGATTTTATTATTTTGTAATTAACTCGTCATCAGGAAATCCGTCTCTTTACAAATTAAACCAGTTATTTATTATCACACATTCCTTGTTAATACAAAGAATTAGAAAACAATTCACAGTTCCATCTTAAAAGAAAAAAAAGTTCGTCGTGGTAGAGTAGAACCTCATCAATATCACCGTCGTTACTCACCTTAAGGGTAGGGGGTTATAAGGAGAGCCGTTCTCTCTAAGGCTTCATCCTCTCTCCTTTGCATTAAAAATGGGTAGGGGTCAGGGTTAATCCCTTCTGTCTGTTGCGTGCCAAAAGGCAAGTGTTGGGCGGGGGGATTCGACAATGTCTGGACTCTGGAGTTACATACACGTGAGAGTCCCTTCCTTAAAACTCGACCGTGTGTCACATTTCACCTGAGGGAGGCGGATAAATACGTTTTTTTGTTGTTTGTGGAATCAGTTTTCTTTTTATTGTTGATGTGAAAACAAAAAAATATGTAGATTGTAGTACGTCTTTTTCTTTTCTTTTTTTTTTTTTTATTAAAAAGTCTCTCCTTTTCTCGCATGATCATCAACAACAAATAAGAAAAAAAACCCTGAATCGGGATGATTGCTTTTTTTCCCCAATAAAGAAAAATAGAATCCATTTTTTTTTTTTTTTTTTTTTTTTCGTAAAAATTATCATAAAATTTGAAATCGACAAACAGTGCAAGTGGAAAAGATTGATAAACGACGCGTTTCGCTGACGTCAGTTGATCTCGGCTTCTTTAAGTCATAAGGTAAAAAAAAAATTAAGGTTACAATTACATGCTGAAAAAATACACAAAAAAAAACATAATAAAAACAAAATTTTATTGTCAAAAAACCTTTGTATTATTAAGAAAAACTGCCAAAGCAAAGGATTCTTTGTAAATTTCTTAATCTTTTTTAGAACCTTGGAAATTTTGGTTAAAAAATTTTGTTTTCTGGTGTCAACGCGGGACCATGAATTACGATGGGAAATTTGAGTGTCTTTTTTGCAGTAAAAAAACATTGATTTGGAAATTCTTACAAAAAACAAATTGTCGGATTTTTAATGAAACTTAAAAGGACTTTATTCAGAAATGAATTAAGTTTTTGAAACGTTTCTTTTTTAGAAAAGCTTTGTAAAATTATTATTTACTATTATTTATTTGTGCGGACTTTAAGCTAACTACTGCAGAGGGCTTTGGGGGTGGGGCTTTAGCCTCTTACCTTCAGCGTTTGTACATAAAAGTTATAAAAGAATTTAAAATGATAAAATTATTATTTTATCTTTATTCGACACCTTAATTCGGCATAATCTTTCTATGTGTATGCAACCAATTCCTGTAGTTTGTTAACATTTTTTTTTTTTTTTTTTTTTTTTTTTTGCGCATAATTTTTATTTTCTTTTAAAATTAGCACTCTTTATGATCCCATCATCACATAAAGTCGCTCTTCTTAAGACATTAGGGAATCCGAACTATAATATTTTGAATACGTCACAATACGCATGCTAGAAAAAGAAAAAAAAACCATGAGTAACATTACTACCATGTCCCGTTTAAGTTTTAATTTAATTATGATTTTTAGCAATTGAGACGGAAAGTGAAAAAGTTGTTCTTTTAATAAAGAATTGTTTTTTTAACCTTTCACGCTGTTCAATATTTAAATTTAACTTTAAATGAGTTATTTATTTAATTTTTAATTGATTTAATTAATTAATAATTGTAAGTACAATAGTTACTACCCTTTACTTCATGTTGTTTATGATTTGCCAAGATCGAAAGCGGATGGACGGACACACATACACTGTGCTTTATTTATATAGATTTATTTTTTTTACATCTGTTACCTCAAACATCTTTCATTTGTAGTTTGTGTGTATTATTTTATTTTATTAAATCGTTTTTGTATGACAAAAAAGACTGGAAATAGGACAGCTACAGTGAGTGGTCATCAAACACACTGGAACAAAGAATGCGATCTTTATGCTCAGAATGTTATCAAATGCAGGAGGACAGTGTACCTGTGTTTTATAGATTATACAAACTCATTTGATAAAGTACACCACAGAGATCTGTTGGAACTGTTCAGTGTTAATTGCAAATCAGAGATCCTAAAATGAAACCAGTGTGGAAATTTAAATATCTAGAAAGTGTTTTAACAGAGAATGGAAAGTGTGACACTGAAATCCGAAGGCATATTGGGATAGCCAAAGATTCCTTCCAAGAGCTAAGCAGAGTATTAAGAAATAGAAAAACTTCACTAGAAACAAGGAAAAGAGTATTAAACATGAGTAATATCTGTCCCCCTGTATCAGGGTGACAGATATTACGTAATAGTTTAATGCTCTTTTCCTTGTTTCTAGTGAAGTTTATTGCTGGATAATCTCAAAGAGTTCTGAAGCAACAGGAATATGGTTCTACGGAAGGATGTTGAAAATACTATGAATCGAACATGTGAGCAACGACAAGGTTTTAGAGAAAATGGAAACAAAAAGGAAACTTATACTTAAGATCAGGAAGAGGAAGTTGAAGTTTCTGGGGGATGTAATGAGGAAGGAAGCCTTGGAAAATCTGATACTCACAAGACAAAGTAAAAGAGACAGACGAAAGCAATGCATTATATATTTGAGTAAATGGATGGTGGAACAGTTTAGCAGAAATAACAGAAAGACAAAATTTATTAAGAGCTGCAAGGGACAGGAAGTTGTGGAGAGCTATAATCACCTACATCTTGAGGGGACAAGGCACATAAAGAAAAAGAATATATTTAATGTCAATTCTAATATTCTGTCATAAAACTAAATGACTGGTTCTCAAAAACATAAACAAAAGGTAACCTTTTACTTTTTTTACATTTACAGTAAAAGATTTTTTTTCTTGACCAATATGTACGATGGAAAGTAAAATATTATCAAGCACTGGAAATGTTAGATGAATGATTTATATTGTCAGAATTAGCACATCAAAATTAGTTCTCATCATTTTCACAAGAAGTGGGGATGATTTTCATGGGGGTCAGGCCCCACTTTGGTAATAAACGCAAAGTATTATTTTATTTAATTTTATTGTTAGACGTATTTCCAAAATATAATGTCGTATCTCTTTAGGACTTAGACGATCGTGATTTTTCCTAGATTCCTTTTTATTTGTAAATTACCATTCATTCTTAGGAAATACAGGGAAGTGGTTTTCTGTTGCCATCTCCACAGTTTAGAATTCACTTTTCCTACTATTAAACTGGTAGCCCCAAGACTATAGAGCATAGTCTACCCA